GCTAGAGCAATGTGCATGTTTACGGGCCTCCCTTCCCTTTCTAGCCCTCGCCGGGGCCAGCGAGCCCTTTTCAACCACCACGAGAAACGGTGCTTCATGCCGGACACAGAGAACTCATCTGTGTTCTGTCTCTCCCTCTCCGCGCCCTTGGCCGTCAGGAACGAGGCATTGTGAAAAATGATGGTCCAATTTTCCCAACGTGATCCATTTGCCGTAATTTTTTTAAAAGGAAGAAAAGGAGGGAGCACCGTCAAACACCCCCTCTCCTGTCCCCCTCTCCTGCCTCCCCCGGTCAGAGTCCACGTGCCGGAGGACTGGCCGTGGCCGCGTGCCCGACAGCCCCGATCAGATGGACCCCAGGCGCCAGGACGCGTCTCCTGCTGCAGTGCATGCGGGTGGCACAGGGCGGCACCGGACTTCAAAGGGAGCACGGTACCTCCCCTCTCGCAGTCCTGCCCCGGCTTCTTAAAAGAAGCCAAGGGGACAGCGTTTGAATGACAGCCAAAAGGAAGATGAGGAAGAAAGAGGAGGAGGAGGAGGCAGAGGAGGCGCTGCTGTCCTCGCCAGAGAGGGGAGGACCTGCGCCCTTTTCCTCGTGTCCGAGGCGAGCGAGTAGCACACCTAACCGGTTAGCTCTGATCGCAGATTTTGCTCCTTTTTTGTTGCCCTCCCACCCCCTGTTTTCCCCGGTTAAGCTCCGAGAGAGAACTGGAAAAGGCTTTATTTCCCTGAGGCTGAGGACAAGTGGAGAAACACAGCCATCTGCCCCCCCGTCTGCGGTCACCGCTTTGTGGGCGCTTCGGACGGCCGGAGCCCCAGTCCGCAGGCACGCTCCGTCTCCGTGTCGGTCTATTCCGCACGGACAGTAACGCGGGCCAGGCACCGTCTTCTGCGCCGGCGACGCCTCCAAACAAACGGAACCGAACCAACGTTCCTGAGCTCGGGGGCCGACCGTTTAGTGAGACGGGACGTTCAATAGACAATAGACTGGGTGCTTGGTGCGCCGGACGGAGAAGCAGAGGAGGGGACAGGGAGCGTGGGTGTCAGGAAAGATGCTCGAGGGGGTGGGGGAGGAAGCCACGAGTCCTCTAGGCAGAGGACACAGCCAGTGCAAAGGCCCTGGGGCAGGCGGCCTGGCGCGTTCGAGAAGCTGCAAGGTGCCAGGGTGTGGTTGGAGCATGAAGGGCAAGTTGGGAGGTCAGACAGGAGCCGTGAAAGTATCAGGGAGCTGGTCACGTGGGGCTCTGCCAGCCACCCTGAGTTCCCTGGCGTTCACTGCGTGAGGTGGTCTCTTAACCTTATGCCAGGAATGAGAAATTATTATAGTCAGGGTGCGTTTGCGATGTGCTGGCTACACACCCTCCGCATCCCCCCCGTGGCCGAGGAGACTCCCAGGAGCGTTCTCCGCGGCGGGGCAGCCTCCTCTAGAGCCTGCTGCCGCCCCACGGAAGCCCTCGGTGCTGGCAGGTCCTGCACCCTCTGCGAGAAGATCTTCTGTCTCTATTTCCTCAGCGAACGCACCCAGCCTTGGGCCTTCATCGCCCTCCGTGTCGGTCTATTCCGCACGGACAGTAACGCGGGCCAGGCACCGTCTTCTGCGCCGGCGACGCCTCCAAACAAACGGAACCGAACCAACGTTCCTGAGCTCGGGGGCCGACCGTTTAGTGAGACGGGACGTTCAATAGACAATAGACTGGGTGCTTGGTGCGCCGGACGGAGAAGCAGAGGAGGGGACAGGGTGTCTGCCCACGGCCAAGTGCACACACCCAGTGCCAGCCCTTCTCCCGGACTCCAGGTGCAGACACCCAACTGCCCGCTCCCAGTCCCCACCTGTGTGATAGGCATGGTCTCAGAACATCCACAGCTACACTCCCGGTTCCGGTGTGAGTAGTCCAACCCGGTACACCCGGCCCGCCCCTCCCACAGCCTCCCCACCTCAGAAGACCGCAGCCTCCCCCCGACCCCCGCCCCGAGCTGTGCAGGCGTCCATGACCCCTTCCTTCGGTTGTTCATGCCCCACGTCCACACCATCCGCAAGTCCCGTCGGCTCTGCATTCAAAGCATGGAGACCTGACCCCGTCCCACCGCCGCCTCTGCCACCGCCCCGGTCTGCACCCCCACCGCTGGCTCTTGCTTTGACCACGAGCACAGCCTCCTAACTGAGCCACCGGGCCTTACGCATTGAGACTCTCTCCTCAACCTAAAAGCCCAACGACCACTCCTGTGCTCAAAGCCTCCACGGCCCCCCTTGTCTCTCAGAGTGGGAGCTCAGGCCCACAGCCGCACTGTCCACTCAGGACCTGCCGGCACGGAGGGAGGGCTCTATGTCTGTGATGTCCAGCGTGGTAGCCGCAGGCCGCACGTGGCTGCTGAGCACTCGGAAGGTGGTCAGTGCTGCTCCATTCCTTTCTCGCTGTAATTAGATTACACTTAAGCCGTCCTGTGTGGCTGGCGGTGGCTGCCCCGCTGCACAGTGCGGGCCCGCCGGGCCCTAGTGAGTCGGCCCCACCCTTGGGCTCTTGCCCTGTCTTTGGCCTCTTCCCCTGTCCCCCGACTCGCACACCCGCCCTGTCCCAGCCACGCCGACCTCTTGTGTTTGCCCCTCGGAAATGCCAGCCTCAGCCCCGCTCTGGGCCCTTTCCACGGGTGTGGTTTCTGCGTGGAAAGCGCCCCCTGGACAGCTGCGTGGGTGGCCCCTGGCCTCCGTCAGGCCTTCTGCTGGAGCCCACCCCACCTCCCACCGCGTCCGCTCTCACTCCGCCTGCCTTACCCTCCTTTCCTTTTTTACTTTACTGATCACCTGCCAGCCAGTGGCATCATCACTTGCTTTTCAGGTCTGTTGTTTTATGTCCGCCCTCTGACATGCCCGCTCGTCCAGGGTGGCCACCGCTGAGTCACCGGTGCCCTGGACGGGGTGCTCAGTGCCTGTTTGTTAGGAGGACTCAGTCGGGGAAGGCTGACCCCTCCCCGTGGCGCCCCATATCCTCTTTGGGGCACACTGATGTCTGTGGCTTCCTCCTGGAATGCACAGCTTCCCCAACTCTGTCCGCACATCAGCTAATCGGAGAGAGCCCGCTCCTTGCCAGCCTGCTGTCCGGTGCTGGGGACGCCGCAGGGGCCAGGGCAGCCAAGACCCTGAGCCCTCAGGGGGCTGACCTTCACTTCAGGACACAGACGCTGAGCAGCACACAGAGAAAGCAAAGGTGTAATCAGCGTTGGGTAGGAACGAGGGTCAGGACGGAGAGCGTGGAGGCCTGTCTGAGGGAGGAGAAGGGCCAGCTCAGTGGGACCCGGGCGGGTGTCCCACGCGGAGGGAAAAATGAAACAAACCGGAACGGCAGACGCTGAGGGCCCTGCGGGGAGGGGGACTGAGGTGCTAAGCTCACCGGGATGCGATGCAGGTGACACCGGGGTGCGGTGAGGCCGCCCAGCAGAGACGGGCCCCGGGGCCGCCTGAGCCTCAGGCCTGCCACTCCCTCTTCCGTTCCTGAAGCTGGCTTTGGTCCCTGTCCCCGTTGAGTGTCCAGAATGTCCGTATCCTACAACATCTGTTTCACGGCACGCTTTCGGGTGAGATCTTACGCAGAAGCCCCAAACAACCGGTGTGAGTGGAGCTGTTCCCATGGCAGGTGGGAGTCCACACCTTTCCCACCCCTTCTTGGGTCTGCTGAAGGCCCCTCGGGGATCTGGGTGAACCCCAAAGATTCCGGGAGCTTTAGTTAGAAGCCCCCTGCCCGTGGCAAACACGGCGTCAGGAAGCTCGGCTCTGCCTCCTCTGGTCTGCGTCTGTGCGAGACCCTTATTGCCACACGCAGACTGTCACCTCCTTCCTGGTGGGACATGTCCTCTCTGACGTCCCCCGACAGGGCCCTGAAGCATGGATTATTCTGGAGAGGATGGCACCTAGCATGACTCTCTTAGTAAACGCCGGGCGTTGGCTGCCCCACTCTGTCCTGTCCCGCTTCCCCCTGTCTAAGACTTCGCTGAAGAGCAAGTTTTAACACAAATGCAGACTCCACAGTCGGGGGTGGGGGTGCTTAGAAACCTGTTGTTTTAGCCCACGTCCCAGGCGACCTGCGTGCAAGGAGTCTGGGGAGCCCTCTTCATGCGGCGCTGTCTTGAAGGACATGCAAGTCACCCGTCGCGTGGAGTGGTCCCGAGTGGAGCCCCACCTCCAGTCCTCTAATTAGAGTCGTGTTATTTGTTGAGCCGTATTCCAAAAGCAAGAAAGACTCCGTGCAATTCAAGGGTCAGGGTAGGAAGCTGGCATTTCAATTAAAAATAATCTGTGATGGTGTCAGATTAATGTCATTATCTGAGGGACAGTGAAACTTAGCTCGAGGTGATGTTCTCCATGGTGGGCCCCCACCCCCCCACCTGCCCCCATAAATTACCGGGGTGAGGGCTCCAGTGCCCCGTCGCTGTGACAGGGGATGCGGAGCTCTCTGTCGACAGCCCTGGTTTGTGTGGCAGAGAGAAACCGTCTCCGCGGGCACGAAAGGTGGGGCACGTTCTGCTCTCCTCCTGCTTTGCGCACTCACTTGTCAATTCCTAGTCACATCATCTGTCTTCTGTGTGCAGACGGCTCCTCAGGCAGGAGCCCCATCCTGAGAAATCGAGAACCTCCCAGCCCCATCCAGCATGTGGCACGTAGCAGGAGCTCAAGGAGAGTTTGTGGGTGACTGACTCAGTCACCATCGGAACCGGCTACGTCGCCGGCATGGCCCAATGTGCAAAGTGAAACTGCAGGCTCAAACGCCATTAAACATTTTCAAACATGACTGAGACTTTTGAGACGGCCACCGCAGAGCATGGAACCAAGCTCGGGGATCCCCCGAGTGTGAGGACAGTGGGTCCACCCAGATCACACGTTCATGAAGCCTGCCTGGGTCATCATTGTCTTTTCTTCCCCAGCCACCCGATGGCCAGACCTGTGTTTCACGTCTCAGTGGCCACAGTGCAAACCACATAACTTTTGGGACTCTCCATACTGGTCCCACGAACACGCCCTGCCCCTGCTCTCTCACCCCAGACACCCCAACTTCTTCCTGGCAGCAGGGAAGAACCCTGTCTACGGGAGAGAGGTCGCTCCGAAGCAGGAAGGACTTCTTGTTGGCCCGCCCTTCCAGGGAACACACAGACCTCTGCATCGCCCCTGCACGGCCTGCGACTCCCCCGGACCCCCACACCGATAAAGGCAGGGGCCGCAGGTCTACAACTCTAACAGCATAAAAGCTGTCCGCTGCCTCGGAGGCAAAGAGTGGCTCAGACGGCCTTCCTCTTGCCTGCTGTTGGCTCACCCACCGCCCCCCCCCCGACCCCAGCCCCCAGCACCCAGCACCCAGCCGCCCAGCACCCGCTGAGCCGCCAGGTTGTAGCGGCCTGTTTCCTTCTCAGCGCCCCTGGTGGACTGAGCGCCCCGGGACAACAGGGGCCAGGCGTGAGAACCCTCAGGGACTTGAACAGACCCTGGCACATTTTCAGCACTTAATTAGTGTTTGTTTAAATGGCTGCAAGGAAATTAATAAATTAAGCCCAGATGGCAAAGTTGGCTTCTTATGGCTTGTGACGGGGTGTTTCAAACCATCTTCGGAATTATCTTCCATGAGAGCCCTGAAAGTGTATTTTAAAAAGCAAAACACTGAAGCCATGTTGAACCCCTGTTACATCTTCCGGAACCTTCCTTTCCGCTACAGGTGGTCCTGGGCGCAGCAGCAGCAGCCTCACCTGGGAACTTGTTAGAAATGCAAATTTGCAAATTCTCAGGCCCCTCCCCAACCCCACCGAGTCAGATACTATGGGGGGCGGGGTCCAGCGGTCTGTGTTCCCACAAGGCTCCGGGTCATTCAAACGGCCCTCCCCTGACAGGACCAGACGGTGCCCCGAGGAGCACAGTTTGGGAAGCAGGACTTATTACAGCATTCTCTTCCAGGAACGCTTGGATTTAAACACAAATTAATTGTTTGCAGCAGCAGCAGCCTTGACAATCTCAAAGAACTTAATTCTGTTGTGGTGTTTTACCTAGTAAGTCAAAATCCCGTAAGGCTGGTTCTTGATAAAGACATTTATTTGACTCAGCTAAGAAGATACTTGGGTGAGAATAAGAGAAAAAAGGTGAATGCTCATATTAAGTGTCTTTTTTTTTAAGGGCTGTTTGTGGGTGTAAAGCTAGAAGGCGAGTTAGGGAGAGAGACATATACGGTAAAGGAAATACTGGTGTGTGACCTAAAGCCCTACCAGAGGTGTGACCTTGGACAAGTCAGACTGTGTGCGCCTTCATTTCTTCACCTAAACAGACGGAGATGCATGCGGGGCTGCCACGGGAGGCCGGGCGGGCTGTGCTCTGCACAAGGGGACCGGGCCAAGCGGAAGGCTTTGCCCCCTCCCAGAGGAAGGGGCATGTCTGTGGAACTCACTCAGAGACACCCCACCAGCCGGCCCGGCCGCGTCTCGGTGATTCCTGGCCCTGCCTGCCTCGTCAAGTTGTGAAGATCCCAGAGATGGCGAGTGAGAAGCAATTTCACAACTGCAAGGGGTGGTATGAATACGAGAAGATAGGGCTTTATTTTGGTCGTTGCTGCAGCAACATGCTCGTATTTTGACACTTCATCCAGCCAGGCCTACCAAAGGCCTGATATGCTCACGGAACACAAATCACTCCCATCCGCAAGAGCTCACGTGGCTGGCACGTGAGAAACCAGCAAGACCTCTGTGTCTCAGGACTCTGCGCTCCTGTGGAGCTCCCTGCGCCCATGAAGGTGCTGCCCCTTTATGAGATCATCGCAAAGGCCTGGCAGAGACCTGTCACAGTCTCTAGGATGCTGTAGCTAAACCTTCGCCACCAGCTGGTCCGGTGCTCAGTGGTAGACCGTCAGGGGCTCTGCTGGGTGGGGCCAAGCCGGCCTGGGATGGGGGAGGGCCCCCCACACAGAACCCCAATGCTCTTCAATCGGGCGGTGGACCCTTGGAGGGGACCCCGGCCTGGACTCCGTCGATCTCATGCTGACGAGGGGAGAAGACCCTTTCTGGCCTTTGCATTGGGAGCGCAAATGAAATTCTTGTGTGAACGCAGCCAAACTCCCCGTCGACCTGCTTCCTTCAGTCCAAAACCAATGCATGAAATCGAGCACCAAAAGCACTTTTTATCCAAGCAAACTGTCCTTGCTCATTGCCACCTTGTGGCAGCTCAGCACTATAGCACCAGCTGAGGTGAGCGGACACGCACCTTTGGGGCACTTGGGACATTTGTAGAATTTTCTGTCCTTGGGATCGCCCCCTTTGTTTTCTCTTCCTCCGTCTCCCATTGGAGAAACAATTAGCGCATCTCACTGAGGTATCTGGGTAATCAGGATGAACTTGGCCCAGGCCCACCAGCCCGGTCTCTCTCCAGCCCCCACTTTTCCTTCCACCCACCCTGCCCCCTTGACATAAAACCTTGTGAGGCTCCTTGCAGCCACCAAAATGTTCTGGTTTTCCCCAAGAGGACCTGGGCTCCCCAGGGAATACACTAAAAATAGGCCTTATTTTGTATTATTTGTTTTGCAAATCAAAACTCCATCTCGGGCCCCTCCCCTCCGGGCTCCCAGGGGAATGTCTGCACTGGGAGATAAGGTGGCTGGGTGCCTGCAGGGCTTCCGGGTCTTTAAACACGGCTTAATTAAGTTCCAGCCAACAGGCGACTTGGGCAGCGCGCGGGCTCTCGGGAGATAAGACACAAGACACATCCGGAGATGAAGGGCAGAGCTTCAAGAGGCAGTGAAATAAATCAGAGGCAGCACAGCCCATTTGCAAATGCAAATCATCCTGCCCGGAGCCCTGCCCTTGGCTGAAGGAACTCAGAAGCCTGGTCCTGGGATGAGGGGCTGCTGGCAACTTCTGCTCCTTCTCCACGGCTCTGACGGCGTGGCGTCGGAGCGTGGGAGTCACTGGGATGGGAAGGGCAGGCTAGCTGTCCCCACTGCAGGGGAGCGAGCGAGCCTTCTCAATCCCAGAAGCTGATCCCCAGGGGCTCTTTCCTCCAGAGCCTCCCGCGCATGGAAAGGGCGTGGTCTCTCTTTGTGACCTGCGCCCGCCCGGTGCTGCCTTCCTGAGAATTCTAACCACATTCTGCCGTCTTCCAGGGGCAGGATTTTTCTAAGTCTTTTCACAGCAGCTGCCCGCCCCCCTGTGCCGTTCTGCACGTCGAGTATGAGTTCCCAGGGCTCTGGGGCTCCTTCGTGGCATATATATAATGCAATAAGTATTGTATGTTATATATGTTACCTATGTTATATATAATATACATTATATGTATAAATACATGAGCATAGCTCCCATGCAAGAAACCATAACTGTTCCTTGACTCAGTGCTGGGTAAACTGAAAGCATCAAACCTGAAGGAATGTCGTCGCCTCAACTCCTTTGCTAATGGCAGAGTGTGCTTGCCTTTGCCAAGGCACCTAGATCTTAGCAGTAGAGTTCTTGACAGATTTCCTGGCGTGTGGTACAGACCCAGAGTAACTCTCACACTTGGAATTCACCAAAAACCTCTATAGACTCTACAGCAAGTCTTTGAATAACATCGTTTTGTTAAAATATTGATGAAAAAAATCGATTCCCAGCCAGGTCCACAGGCTGTGTGGGGTCGATGCTCTCCTTGGCCTCTGGTCCCCCCAACCCCCCACCCCCACCCTGTGCCCCGAGTACCTGCACAGGAGGGGAGCTGATGTGTCGGAGGTGTTCCCCTCGGAGTGAGTGAGGGTACGTGTGAGTGTGCCCTGGGGTGGAAGGGCCCCAGTCCCCCACCCCCAACCCTGGGCTAGGACAAGCGGGTCGGAAAATAATCATCTAACTTGTTTTCATTCATCTTTCTTAAATGTATGTGAAGCTGACATTTCTTTCGATTGTTAATATTGGAGGTGTCCTGGGTCTTTCTTTAGGAGCTTGGCGGTGTTTTCGTGACCAGAAATATGCTGTAGGAACTTCACTCTTGTGCATATCAATCAGCCTATGGTAAACTGCTTTCCTAATAGGCCATTTTATTTAAAGGCGTGATTTCCGAGCACCTAGGGACAGTGCTAAGTGAGGGCTTACTCTACATTCCTGGAGGAAACTGGTGTCAAATCCACTGGTACAGTGAGCTTTGCCCTGTGGTTTCTTTGGAGTCACCTGCCCTCTTCCTCTCCAAAATCCACAATTTGCCCGCTGGGCAACCTTGAGAAGCGCATCCTTTCATCTGCCATCTCTGAGCTTCCATTTTCTCCTCTATTGGAAGACAGTTTCTGGGGCCTTTAGAAAGCCCTGGTATCTCATCATCCATATATTTACTATGCAATTCATTCCATTTTTTAAAAAAGTCTGTTTTGCTTTCACCCAAGAGAATTTATGTATCAACCCATGGCGGGTCTGGATGGCAAGGACAGACCAAGGGCACGCAGCTCCAGGGCACAGTCACAACAGACCTTCAGGACCCGGGTTTATGACTGTACAGCAAGGCTCTCCAGGTGTAGCAAGCGGCCATTTGGCTGAAGCAGAACCTTGAAACACGGGCACCGTGGCAGAAGCATGTGGACAGCTCTGCACAACAGCCTCACCCCTGAGCGCTTCTCCGCTCACAGGTGCACTCTCGTGAAGTTACCCTTGGCCGAATTTGATGGGGGAAATCACACGCTACACTGAGGCCCGGGCATCACGGGGTTCCCAGGAGAATCGGGAAAGGGCCATCTCAAGGTCTGTTGCTGGGGTCAAAGACTTAAGTGCCTACAGGCACCAGGCAAGTGACAGTAATGAGAAAAGCAAGTCAGGAATTAATGTTTTACAGTTCCCCTTCTCAGTGAATTATGTGCCTTTTTTTTTAGCCTGCTTTTAATTTCCCCATCTTTGATAGAAACATGGGCAGAGGGAAATATTTCTCCATTATAGGAGATATTTTTTGAAGGGCTCCTTAGCCATAATGTAAGGGTAATAATTGAGAATGTAAATGTTCAATTATTGCTTAATGAAAAACAATAACTGCACCATGCAAGCCAAATTTATTCTTTATTAAAAAAAAAAAATACTAGTTGGGACATCTGGTCTACCACGGATGTAAAGCTGACTCTACCTCCTGTACTCTGCATTCAGGAGCCTATCTCTCATAAGCCCAAATTCAGAATATAATGGAGATGGGGGAAAAACACATAAAACT